GACAAAGGGGCGGTGACGAAGGAAGCGGAGCCCCGCCCTTGCCAAGTACAAGCAGTGGGCGGGCCTTGGGCTTTGAGATCTGCTACGGCACTGGGTTGCCTCTGTGATTGGCTGAGGGACAAGTCGTCACGTGACGCAGAGCAGGGCTGCTCCCTAGAGGCAGGCATAATGGCTTAGGGCCCGGCCCCGCCCCGCCCCCCGGGGTTTTTACAGGGGACGGGGCGGCGGGGGTCTCCGGGTCGCGGTGCGCGCAGCAGAGCGGGGGAAGGGGAAAGGAGGGGGCAGTAGGACGGGCTTTGCGAGGGGCAAGTGGGACCGCTGCTCGTGGGCAGGAGAATGCTGTAAGAGGTTGCTTTCTCCTCCCGCCCTTGGCTCCCCCTTCACCTGCTCTTGGAAACGCAAGCCAAATCTGCTCCCTAGTTTATAATGGGGAGCGGCCAACCTGCAGCATACTGCCAGCCGCCGGGGGCATGGGCAGCCTGTGCGTGCAGCAGACCCCGGAGGGGACAGGGAACCCAGCGGCAGATTAGCAGGGAGCAGAGCACTATATGGAGGAGAAAGCAGAGCAGCAGAAAGCAGGGCAGCAGGTCAGGCGGGGAACAGAAAGCAGGGCAGTAGATGAGGCAGGGAGCAGAAAGCAGAGCACCCCCTTAGGCAAGGGAAAGGCTGGGGGTTAGAGTGGTACTTGAGGAGGGGTGGGGCCAGTTTGCACACCTGCCAAAAAGAAGTGTGGCCCCCAGTGCTTGATGCAGTGGAACAGGCTGGTAGTTGCCACTCTTGGTAATGCCCTGGTCTGGCGTGTCACCAAATGGGAGATGCCAGGCAACTGTCTTTCACAATTGCCACTGGAAGCCTGTGGTGCTGGTGTTATATTTCTCGTCAGTGGAAGCATCCAGCTCACTACTAATCAGCAACAGAAAAGAAAAAGGGGAAAGAAGATTATTTCATCCGTGTCCTCTCCAGAACCATACGGCAGTTCCTTTTAACCCAGAGTTTCAGCTCTGCTCATAAAGCACGTTGATATCAACCTCCCTTTCCTCTGCAATTGTGGTGAAAACATTTGGTTTCCTACCACAAGTTTTTACCATCAAGAGTCAACATCAGTTCACAGAGGAAACAAGTACTGCTGGTCTCCCATCCTAGCTTGGGTTGCTTCAGAGACTGAAAAAGCACCCTTGTCATCTTCTCATGCCAGCAGGATAGCTATTGGCAACTAGGCCTTGGCTGACTTAGGCTGCAATGTTTCTGGAAAGTCATCTTGGGTTATATGCTGTGTCTGTCTCTAGTTTTTAGGGTCCTAAAGAAAAGTTCTCTTGAGAGCTCCAGGTGCTCTTTGTAGACAAAAGATGGAAAGCAGGACCAGTGCCTGAATCCTCTTGCTTTTATGTCCAACATAATTGTGTTTACTGTGTATCTACATAAGTATGCTTCTTTTAAATTTAAATCTCGTATTCTTCTCTCGTGCTTCTACATCAGTCTAAATGCTATGCAATTGCTCTTATTTTGAAATCACTAGTGAAATTAACAAGAACTTTAACCACATGTAAGGGGAAAAAAAAGTACCAATGATTATAGAGGTTAAATGTTAGCCAATGCATTTTCAAACCTGTGATCTCCTTGCTTTTTCATCTGAATTTTTCTAAAACAGGGCTGCAAGTATCAGCATTATGAACCAGGAGTCCTAACCACTGGCCTGCATGCCAAATATGGCCTACAGAGCCATCTTATCTGGCCCATGGGACTCCCCATAGGTCCAGAAATTTGGCAGCAAGAGAGAGATGGCCACCCTGCCCCCTGCCAAATTCCCCAAACCCAAGCCTCGCATGCCTGGTCAGAGCCCAGGTGTACCCCGGTATTCAACACCCCCTCCCCCTGCTTCTAGGTTGAGCTGGGCCACACACACCCCCGGGGCCAGGTTGGGGCAAGGCATGCTTACTTCCACCCGGGCTGGGTTTGGGCCTAGTCAGGGCCCCTCCCTTAGTGCTAGGCTAAGGCTGGGCCATACTTCCTCCCCCAGTGGGGCCAAATCAAGCTTCTTTCTCCTGCAGGGGTGAGTTGGAGCCAACCTGCCCCTTCCATCTCCTCCACGTAGCTGAATGGTGCCTGCCATGCCTGCCTTGGGCACTGGATCAGGACTACTGGCCAGACCTGACCCACAGTCAAACTAGGTGCTGCCCATCCAGGCTGCAGGGGGAAAAGGTTGAGCACCACAGAAGTTTCTTCTGTTTTCTTAGACTTCTCCTTATGTGGGATGACAATGCACTACAGTGCCATGCAGAAACACCTGAGCTTTCTTGTCCAGTTAATACAACCCAGTCTCTACTGGAATACCTAATCTATACATTTTAGGCTTTCATTTGCTTTGTTCATAGCTGTAACTACAAGCTGCTAGTGGCTTGTAGTTATCCTGTGATTAACTTGCACATACAGGAATTCAGATGGCTTCCATTTATCAAGAAGGGTCCTCATTCTATGAATATCTTCCACTGATCAAATATGCCCAACCTTTCTACAGCACCAGTTCCTCTCTCATGCGCTCTAGCTTCTCAAGTGGCACATCTCTACTTTTCAGGCTATTCATCTTTGTCTTGGTCTCCGTGCTCAATTAGCCCTAGTTCCCACTCACTTCAGGTGCCAGCTTCCCTTCCCATTCCCACTCCCGTGATGAGTCTCAGCAAGAATCTGGCAGTGTCATTTTCCCTGACAGGTGGACAAATGTCTTACTGCCATCAGGATAATTTTCAGTCTTGGGTCCACGTCCCATATCCTTGCCTGTGGTGGACTGCACTGGTGACATACCTGTCAATTCTTCTTCATATGTATTTGTTCTATATTAAGCATTTCAGTTTTCTCCTACTTGAACAGAGTACATCTCTAGGAGTGTCCCCAGGGTACAACTTACGTAAAAATTTAGATAACAGTCCCATGCAAAACAGCACCAGTTCATGGCTTGGATAAAGGGAGAGGGTTGGTCAGTGGACCAAGACTTAGGCCTTTAAAACACTGCTTGCTTTGACATACAGAGACAGGGATGTACTGCTTTGTTTTTTTATAAGCTATTCCAATGGCAGCCAAGAGCTTCACAAACATTAATACATTTATCTTCTCAAAACTTGTGTGAGATACCGGAGTTGTTATTATCCTCATTTTACAGATGAGGAGCTGAGGCAGAGAGATGGGTAAAAACACTCACTAATTTTGGGTGCCTAATCTAAGATGCTGGTTGTTCAGAGAACTTGGCATTATATACCACTTTATATACTCCAAAACAGTGACCTATTGAGTTCAAATGTAGAAGCCAGTGCTCAGCACTGCAAGTCAGGCCCATCCAGCTCAGAAAATGAGGGATGCATAATTACTAACCATCTATGATAAGTTTGGTTTGAGTTACTTCTTCAAAAAGGAAGTACTTTACAAAGGATCTCTGTAGTGATGCCATTTTAGCATGGCTAAAATATTCTCTGGGGTAGTTTTCTTTCTTAACTACAAGAAGCTATTTTTTCTTCCTCCAATCCCAACTCTCTCTCCTTGTCAGATCTGTTTCTTCCCCACTATTACACTTCCCCTAGTCCTAGTCTCTTAGCCAAGCCAGACCCTTGGCACTTCATCTGATCACAGTTTCACTTCAGGCTTTTGTTCTCCCTTAATTTTCCTCACCAGTTTCTCCCTTGCCTACTAGACTCCTCTATGTTCTAAAGGATAGCATCATACAATCTTAATAATAGGCAGGGTCACTAAGCTTGGATAAAAAATAGATCTAAAAGCCATTAAATTCAAATGTAGAAGGTAAAAAGGTAAAAAGTATAGAAATGCAGCACTAAGATACTCCACACAGTCTTAAATCCATCCTCATATCTCTACTATCCCATGCAGCCTCCATAAAAAAGTAGATGTCTTTAGCTGAAGTGTTTCTTCCCCAGGCAGTGAAATGTTAAGCCCAGGAAAACTTGGCTATTCTTCCAGGAACTTTACCATCCTAGGGCATTTAAAACCCTGCATATTTTGTCTGCAGCTGTGGAAACCATAAACCACAATGGTCACAGTGGTTTATAATTACAATGTTTTAGGGATTAAATTATCCAAAATCCAGAGGGATCCTGCATACAGTATTAAAATATCCAGGGCCTGATCTGAGGGAAACACTAGGAAGATACAAGAACAGTTGGTTAGGTCTCCAGGATGTGCAGTAAGGTATTGGCTATGCCTTGTCTTAATAATAGTATCCAGCTTTCACAAGTGGTACTCAAAGTACTTGACAAAGGAGGTCAGTATCCTAATCACCATTTTACAGATGGGAAAACTGAGACACAGAGATAAACTGGCTTCCACGCAGAGCTTCTCCAGCATCAGAGGCAGCACAGCCTGGCTTAATTGCCTACCTGGCCAAACCTGCCAGAGGCTGTAACTGAGAGCCCTCCTACAACTGAGTAACCAGTTGGTCACTGTTAAGGCTTCCTGACTGGCAGCTAGGCAGCTTCCACCTGTGGCAGCAGGACTTCACGTTAGACAATAGTTTTGTTCAGAGGTCTGCTGTGGTGAGCTTCTCTGGATTGTTGCTTGGCCTCTTGTTGGCTGGGATCCTGAGCGACTGTGGCAAGGGTGCCAAAGGAGAAAACAGCAGCATCAGCATCCTGGTCATCTGAATGTGCCTCCCTTCAGGCAGGGGGACCAGATCCAGTGGCTTTGCACATGGAAATGAATGTGACATTTACAGATGGAAGATGAGATATAGCAGTGGATAACTCTGGGCTGGATAATAAATGGCAGACTGTGAATTGAGAGTGTAAGAAGATTATGGTGGACTGAGGACAAGGAGCGGCAGTGGATTGACAGATGGTGGCAACTGGAGGATGGAAGGAGATGAGCAACTCATGGTAATTGGCGGATGGAACACAATGGGCAGGACAGCAGTTTTTTTCTTCTTACAGGGGATGGACCATGGGAGGAGGACAGCAGATGGCAGGGCGTAACAGGCTATGGCTTTTGGTACAAACAATCCTGGATGCAGCACAGGAAACTGAGAGACTGCAGATGACCTGGTATGAGTTTTGCTATAACATTGTACTTGATTTCCTGAAAGTGCAGCTCAGGAACCAGAATAGTTTGATAACACTTCAAAATAGCAGGATTTGGGAGTTGAGTTTTAACAATTACCAGGATGTATGAACAATTTTGGGGAAGGTACCAAGAGGAATAAAACAGACAGGAATTAAACTGGATAAAGTTTGTGGTTTTGGAGAAGGCAAGAGAATGGGTGGTCATAGTCAGAGTGTTCTCTGATCTAGTTCAGCTGGAAAACGTGGAAATATGGTTAAAACTGTATTGTGAGAAGGTGGGTTTTCTGGATGTGGAAGTGCAGGACATTTTTGGCATATAGCCAGGAGAATGGAGGGTGATAGTGTTACTGAAAGTAGACCTAGTGAATACAGGAGAGGTCCAGCATTTGCTCCCAGTAATCACACTGTGTGTCCATCACAGATATGTGATTTACTTTGGGCAACCTAAAGTGTCTAGCAAACGGGGGGAGGCAAGCCACTTGGTACTCCACTGCCTTCACATCACCTGTTGTAAGTGTGGGAAGAAGGGGCATGTGGCCGGGGGGGGGGGAGTTCCAAGGTAAAAGGAAGTGTAATTTGTATGGGGAAGATGGGCACATGTTTTGGATGTGCCCCAAATCCTTGGCAAATGAAATAAGAGGAATGAAGGAAAGAGAGGAAGAAGAGACGGAGGTGGTGGTGGAAGGGACTCCTGAGGGAGAGGGACCTAGCTTTGAGGCTAACATATTGGTAGCTCAAGGGGTAGAATAACTGGAGCAAGAGACAGACACAGAAGATATAAGTGGAGTGGAAGACAAAGCGGGAAGTGAAACCAAGAAGGAGGGTGAGCAAGCATAGGAGCAGGAGATGAAGAGAGTGGGGAGTTGAAGGAGAATGAGGAAGAAAGAGTAAAACAGACAGGAAAGAGAAAATGAGTGAAAGAAGGGGAAGAAGCCCAAGATGAGCAGAAAAAGGGGCAGGGAAGGCAGATGATGGGAAGAGCTGGATTCTCCCCACTATCAGAGATACCATTGGTCTCTACCCCTGAACTTGTGACAGAGATATTGGAGAAGCAGAGCAGTAAAGTAGTGGAGGCATTTTTAGATAAAGGAATCAAACATTTTGAGGAGGAAATGGGCATTTGCTTAAGGTAGGAGGAGGATAGCTCACACATAAGTAGTGATGCAGATATATAAGAAGGGATATTTTATTGCAGTTTATTGAACTGAGATTTTATAGCACCAAGGATCAAAAAGAGCTCAGATAGAAGAAAGCAGAGGGGGGAAATGCAAGAAAAAGGACAGGGTACTTTTATTTGCAGATGACATTGGGACTAAATTTTAATGGATGAAGGGAAAGGAATGGGTTTTACAGACTTTTAAATGGAAAAACAAAAAGCATAGTGTTTAAAATGTTAACTTTTAGAATGTCCACTGGGAAATGTGTTTTTCTACTTCAGTGTCTTTAATTTGATAAGGAATACTATTTTAAGGGCTTAGGCTGATATTTTACTGTGTATTTTAAGCCTTTAAATCAGTTATTTATTGTCAATGTAATCACCAAAGTCCTTGTAGCACTGTGGGAGGAGGCAGGATATCAGAGTGGGCTGAGGGGGCAGCAAGTAGGGGCATACCAGAGGAGGTACACTGCGAAACAGAATCTGGTCATGGCTAAAACAGATTTACCAGCCTACTCATTTTTGTAATATAGTTTTGAGGTTAGGGTAAGAGGAACAAGGTGGGGAAGGGGTTATAGGGAAATGGGAGTAATAGGGGAGGAGGTTGTAAACGGGTGAAGAAAATGTGCAAAGATTTTAAAAACAAGCCGTATGATACTTTCATAATAAGTAAATAAATAAAGTTTCTCTAGATGCTGTGCTCCCTGGTTTTGACTTCTGACCCTCCTTGGCATCGCCTCTGGGCCCTGGCTCTCATGCACTCTGCTTGGTTTGTGGGTATAGGTTGTAGCTATGTTGGCCTAAGGACATAAGCAGACAAGATTCTTTGGGTAAATCTGATATAGTTTTAGTAAACCAACTCAGATAGTTGGAAAAATTCTTTTTTACAAGCTTTTGGGTACAAATACCCTTCGTCAGCCTGTGGAAGCATCTGCAGTTGGTCTGTGCTCTTCCTGGATGGAATGAATAGTAAAGAAGCTAGAGGCTGATATGCATGCAGGAAAGCCAGTCAGTGCTTTGGTAATTCGGTCTCTGACTCCTGAACTTTGACTTTGCTTATGCTTAAAAAGACAAACTCATGTGCATGGACAAGTTGTCAATGGAATGGGTTCATTTTAAATATGACCTTGGTAAACAGAAAAGTTACATGCCAGCATACACGGAAGAAACATGGGTGAAGATTTGAAAACTTGATTTACTTGTACATATTTCTTTCCGTCAATATCCAGTATTTTCTTGCATACCACATACCTGCAAATATGATATGTACCTTTTGGGGGGGAGATGGGCGGGGGGGAGAGAGAGAATGAATAGAAAATGTTTTTTCTGAGTTATGACTGCATAGATCAGGGATAAAACCTAATCTTCAGCTCACTCACCTTCCTTTTTCTGGCTCTGCCAAAAGCAGAAATTTCAGCTACTACTGAACATTGGTCTTCATGGGCAGACCTACAATTTTGAAGAGGTAAAAACAGGATGTAAAATAGGAGGAGAGAGACAAAGAGTAGATAGCGGACATCAAAACTGCAGGAAGGAAGACTGGTTTGTTTGATTAGTGGAACATCGAAACCATTAAAATGGAGATAATCATTAACACCAGTGGACTGAAGTAGAATGGGCCATTAAGTAAAATGATTCCCTCAGCTGTCTGAATAAAAGTGCCATTGCTGCTGCCAGGAAGTTGATTCCTACTTCACACGAAGTTTAAAACCAAAGTGGCATGCTTCTCCTTGGCGTGGAGGAGAGGGGAGGTGGGGGTGGAGTCTTCCTGCTTAAGTTATGCACCCTAATTTTGGAAAGCTAGGTTTTGAGAAAAAAGGTTCATGGTGTATGCAAGGAAATACAGTAAGTCATAGATTCATAGATTGTAAGGAGCTAAAAAGGACCTCACAAGAACATCGGGTCCAGCCCCGCTGCACTAGGCAGGAAAGACAACTGGGGCAGGTGATTGCACCAATGTGAAGTGCTTTGTAAGTTCATGAAGTGCTCTGTAAACATGAAATGCTGTAGAAATTGTAACAAAAAGTGGATCAAAGAGTTTGTCTGCAAGGAAATTAAGTTAAAAAGAATTAACGTCACTTTAATTCTGAATGAGACTAGCCATATGGGAGTATGGTGGTATTTATTTCAATTTAAATTTACACTCCAATTAACTTTGAGTGTCACCAGGTAGACAAGCCCTAAGTGCCCAGTGTCACACAGCTTGATGCTGACAGGGTTGGGAATAGAACCCAAATAACCTGATTCTCATTCTGATCCTTTAATCATGGATCACACAATTTCTGCATTCAGTTGTGTGAAAAACTAACACTGGAAGTAGTACATAAAAGGTAATAATATGAGTACTCAGAGTTGACTGCATCATGAACTTGACTAGAATGATACAGAAGATGGAAACTACTGCTAGAAAGATAAAAAGAAAGGAAAGGAAAATGGTAAATGTCAATAGAGGAAGAAACTGATATACACAAGTACTCAAGAGGATGATGGGGAAGATGGGGTAGGGGAGAAAGGTGACATGATTATCTCCTTAATACTAGTCACGCTTTTCACTGACAGCAACATGAGTAAGCAGAATTTAACAAAAGGAGGGGAATATGTATTAAAAATGTTGAAGAGGGGATGTCCCTATATCTCTTTAAATATTTCCTTGTGCAGTTAGTGGTTGGATAATATTTCACCCTGAAATGTCCTGGAGACATGCCTTCTGGATTCTTTCCCAAGAATAGCCAAAGATCTCTCTAGGAAAAGCTGTCCCAGGTGTTATTCTAGTGCATGTTAGGACTGGGTTTAGGGAATTTTAATGAGTGTTCTGGGAATATGCACGTAGTGCAGATATGACGAGCCATATGCTATATAACTCACTATATAGCTAATTCAGTACCTGATTTAGGGAGATTTCAGAGTTTTTAAAACAAGAAAATTTATCTTTTCTCAAAACTTAGTAGTAAAAGTGTATGCTAACACCAGTTCTTGTAATGTAATGTTTTTTCAGGCCCAGATACAAAGTCCGCAGAAATCAATGAGAATATTTCCGTTATTTTCACAGGATTTGACCTAGACCAGTGGTGCTCAATTTATATCCCACAGGCCAGATCCATTATGTGGAGCAGTATCATTTCACCTGTGGGGCTCCCCATTGATCTGGAAACCTTGTGGTGGGGGAGAAGGATAGCATTAATTGCTCCCACAACCACGGCAAATAATGCTTCCACTGCTGCCCCCTGGCCAAGTTTCTGAACCCACGGGGAGCCCTGCTGTCCAAATGACATGGCCACCATGTCCTGAATTGCACCAGCATGTGAAGTTGGGCCAGTGCAGGAGATTGCTCCAATTTACCTGAATACTGTTAGTACTAATGGACCCTCAATACTGTAGCTATTTTCCAGTGCTTAATCAACTTAATTTAATTCAAGAATTACTTTGCATTTGATCAAGTAGGCTCCAAAACTAGCTTATCTTCTGCTATTGCTGGTAACAGGGATGAACAAGTAAAGTATATGTTTTAATTTGATTTATATCAGCAAGACCAAAATATTCCCGATTTTTACTTTTGTTTGCAAAGTACACTGGATTAGTGGCATACAATCTTTGGGTCCTGAAGGCTTGATGAATAGTGTGGGGCCCAGTAAACAGTCCACACCCTGTGGGTGGGGTATGTCTGATCCAGTGTGGGATCAGCCCTCAGGTGCAACCTTACATGCTGCCTAGTGCATCATACGCTGAATCCAGTCATGAAGTGACCCCATGCACCAACATGATCGGGCACATGGGGTTATATCTTCTGGCCTGCAGGGCTCTCTGCAAATCTGGAAATTTGGTGGTTCTGGAAGCTGTGGCAATTAATGCTGCCACCCCTCCTCTACTGCCAGATGTCTGCACAGGTGGGGAACTGGCTATCAGTGTTTACAAATGGGTCCTGGTACAAAAAAGGTTGAGAACCACTGATCTAATCCAAACCCCTACTCAAAGATAATCTAAAGTATACAAGATGAATTTCTAAGCTTCACTTAAACTTCCATTGATAGAGGGGCCACAGTCTCCCCAGTTACTCTGTTCCAGTACTTAACACCTATATAGTTAGAAATTTATTCCTAATATTTGGTCTCTAATCACTTTGTTAATCTTCTCTGAGGTCTTTACAATTAATCCACATCATTCTTGAAGTATGATGTCCAAAGCTGAACATAATATTCCAGATGCAGTCACACCAGTGCTAACCAAAATGAAAGAATCCCTTCTCAGGGTTTGCATACAACATGACTGTTAAAGCAGTCCAGTATGCCATTAGGTTTTTTGTCAACACCGCTACATTGTTATATCCTATTCAGCTTGTGATCCCATGTAACCTCAGGCCCTTTTCTGCAGTACTACAACTTAGTCAGTCATTTCCTATTTTGTATTTGTACATTTCATTTTTCCTTCTTAAGTGCACTTGTCTTTAATTAATTTCATTTGATGTATTTCAGATAATTTATCAGGGTTGGTATGAACCCCAGTTCTGCTACCTCATCTGGCTTGTTGTGATGCACAGATATTCTAAGTATACTCAGTTCCATCCTCCCAAGTTATTAATTAGGATACTGAACAATACTTGCTGCCCTGTTTTTTTCCCCTATTCAGGAATTCCTCTATTTTTTTATTATTATTATTTTTTAGAGCAACTTGCAAGGCATAGCTGATTGGCATCCCCCCCCGGCCAAAAAAAAAAGTTCTGCTCAAACTGTCTGGTATTAATCAGCAGTATAGTAATAGACTTCATAGGGAAAATCTATTACATTCACAAAAAGTAAGGCATATAAAACGGAGAGGGCATGTCCATTGGAAGTAAACAAGAAAAGAATGAACCTATCCTTTCATCCCAATTACCCCCATAAGAACTTAAGGAAATCATTCCTAGTGGATAGACTGAACTCAGCCAAAGTTTCAGTTATATCTTTCTAGTTCTGTACTGAGTAAAGCATAAAGGAGAAAAAGAGGGTCAAGGGGGCAGGATGATGACACATCCTCACATTTGATGTTTTTCAGCTGCAAGGAGATGGATAGAAAGGACCAGATTCTGTTTCATCCAGTGAATAACCAAAGTGCAGCTTTCATCCCATTTTGAGCTACCCAATAGAAGTGTAAGTATGAATTTCTTATTCCTTATGGTGCATAAGACTAGGGAGACCTCTGTGCATCTCTGGAGGGTGATCTGATTCCTGTAATAGAGGTAGTTGTATCATGCCCCCCACCCTGGGTATACTGTATATTTGTTTCTACACTTTAGTCGGGTAACTCAGAGTTGGTCACAAGCTGCACTTTGATTGTCTACTAAGTGAAACAGAGTTCTGCCCCAGACATCTGAGAAAGAGGAAAGAAACTTCTAGGATGATTTAATATCAGTTTTCAAAGAGTTTAATAAGAATACATTTGGGTGGTTGTATAACCACAACATTTGTAGATTATAGGACTCTGGCTTCTATAACTGTCAATTGAAATTTTGCCAACAAAGTGAAGATAATGTAAGGTCAGTCTTCATATGGTGTCTATTCAGGGAGTAATTGGATGGAAGGTCACTTTGGAATAAAGAAGTATACTTGGCAAATACTAGACCATAGAAAGCAAATAAGTGGAAGGATAAAATATCTTGTAGAGAAATTTTGAGAGGTCTTACCACGAGCTGGGATAATTCCTATTCTTTCAGAACTTCTGAAGCTAGCACAATATACTATTGCTTGTAGGTGTTTACTGTTTTGTATTTAAAAATTATTCCTGTCAAAACAATTGTTAGTAGTTATACCAACCTAACATGAGGAAAGAATAGGGCAGTTTGTGAGAATATTCTACAGTTTGTCAGAACAAGCGTGTATTAAACACAGGTTTAATTATGCAGTATTGTACAGTCATTCTTGCCTGTTTTGGTTATGCCCTAGTGGAAGTACAAATCTAATCAACTTGGGCATGAATGTGTTAAAAATAGGTGTAGCAGCTTGTTTGGATGGCTAATGAGTTGCATTAATGTGTTTTTTATCAGTTCTGTTGAGCTCCGTATATAAAATAGTACTTTAAAAAATAATTTCACAAACCACTAATTTTTGTTTTTAAATCTATATATTTTTTAAATCTCCAACAATGCAAAACTTTCCTGAATTTAAACATTATTATAAACTCAAACCATTCTCTAGAAAATCATGTAAGCAAATTCTTAAATCCGTCCTCATGCAAGTTAGCACTTAAATGTACTTTTCTGAATGAGGGCCTAAATACACAGACTAGGTACACAAAGGTACATGAAAGTCATGTATGCAATTGAATTAAAAGTATGCTAGAATGATGTTTAAATCTTATTTATTCTCTGGATAAGTCAGGCTACAAATTGAATGGATATTGTGAGTCAATATATTGGCAGAACCATGAAGGGAATCTTGCCACGCTTAACACCATGTTTGCCTTGAGCAGGTATTAATGTTTCACTTTCATTAGTGCTGAAATTAATTAAAGTAAAAAGAGATTAACTGTATAGCTAATGACAGTTTGTTTTTTTCCATGGAAACCTCAGATGAAGCCTAGAAATTCACCAGAGGCCAAGACCTATCCTGTGGTATTATAGGATGCAGGATACTCTATAAAGTAATTTTGTTGTCTATTTGGGGTGCAGCTACATGTTGCCTTATAGTAATTGTTGTTACTGCTCCATGCTTTAGTGTTTCCTTTTGGAAGTACTAATGCACAGCGCAGTAACCGCCCATACTGTGCCATGCATGCAGTATATCATTAGTTTTAGCCGCTATTTTGCCATAGCAAGCTGCCGCTCACGTGTAGCTGCCGTAGCTGCCACTCACTTGTAGACTCTCACGATTGTTATGTCACGGTAGCACATCGTACAGCAACATACCACACTGCTATGGTGACTTAAGCTGGCATGTAGACATGCCCTTGGATTCTGAAGATTTAGTACACTTCTAGCATAAGCTGTATTTAGACAGGTACTCTAGATAATGTAGTTTGAATTTTATAATAGACAGGCCATTGAGCATTGATGGGAGCAAATCTCAAAAGTATTTTTCTTGTGGTTTTGAAAGGTATTTGGTTCTCTGGATAGTAATATTTAAACCATTTACAATAACAGTACAAGGGGAAACATTGCTGACACTTACTTTCAGTATGTTCCACTTTGCTAAGACAAACAAGAAATTGAACCAAGTTTGAGTAAACTTAACAAATGTATTGCCAATTTGTTTTCAGCTAATTTTACAAAATGTGTTTAGCTGGTGACTTCTTTGTGTTGATCTTCTATATTAGCTTAGTTTATGTTGACTCTTATTTTAGTTTCATACACTGCCTGAAAGTGATCTATCATTCTCCAGTACAATTAACATACCAGAAACATGTGTTCAGGATTTTATCTAGTTCATTAATAACTTAAAAAAAAGACAGTTGCATTTTGTAAGTTTATTCCATAAGTAGTCTAGTGAAGAAATTTGTATGACTTTTTGTTTGCACAGGTGAGAAGGTACAATGCAAGGTCGAGAAGGAAGTTAGACTTGTGTACTCAGGTAACCAGAAAAAAATGTTTTCTTGTATAATTGGTAATGCCCTTAGATCAAAGAAAAAAGGTTTTGAAGCAGTTTCTAATTTTATTTGAATTACATGACTGTAAGACCAGAGTAATTCAATTTTAAGACCAACAGAATATGGCCCTCCAACCTAATCAAGTGAGTGAAGATTTAGCTTTTATTCCAAAGCATATGGGAGACAGCTCCCAGTTTATCAGGCCTAGGCTAATACTAGTGCTGAGAAGGAAAAGTCTCAAAGCCCGAGAACTGAGAAGTTTACTATTTGTTTTCATAATGTAACAAACTCAATGCAATAGCTATAGGTACAGAAATTAACTGAAGGCGTAAATAGTATGTGAATGTCTAGGAATAAAATATCTGTTTTTATCTATTCCTAGATAAAATATCTGTTATTACACAGAACAAGATGAAATAAGATTAACAGAATGGTATGACGGTATTATAATCTGCCTCAAAGTAGAAATGAATTCTGTTGTGGGAATCATAGAAAAATAGGGCTGGAAGGGACCTCAAGAGGTCATTTAGTTCAACCACCCAGTTCAAGGAGGGATATGTTAGCACATTTTATGGGTCTAAAGCAATAATTCTCATTTGGAGGTGGTAAAGTATGTATCCCGTTGACCTAGTTTCAGCTCTGAACCCACCAACCCAACCCCTAAGGACAAGGGAACAGTGGATATATTTGTGTGTATAAATTTACATTTCCTTTGATCTTTTTTAGATGGTTTTACTATCCAACTGCTAATGCTTAATAGGAAATGTTTCATACTGTGTTTTTCAGAAATGTAATAACTGATCAATAGAGCATTATAAATTAAATTAAATGAAAATTAACTCTATATTGCAGATTTACAGTCACATTCTCTTGCTTCTGGAAGAAGGTGCCTTTTTTCAAGGTCTACATTCAAAATTCTTTTATTCCAGAACAACTACCAGCAACAAGAGACTGAGAGAAATATTTAGAATGTAGGGGAGGTTAAAACAAAAGCACTTGTGTTATTCCGTCAGATAAAACACAGAAAAACATTTTTTTAGCAGTTGTAGATATCTGTATTCCAAATCCAATAACCAACAGTCATTACTTATGTGCACACAGCAATCACCATTGTGCATGGCAGGAACCAAATGGACTGTTCTTACTTGACTGTTCCTACAGTCCTCTCAATAACATACTTAAAATGTGAACAGATGAACCAGAACTAGGCATTAAATAGCCATCATAGAATTAGGTAAAGATGAAAGCTACCTTAAAGTAATTAGAAATCTCTTCAATTTTTGGGTGGATCACAGGGTCAACACCCCAGAGTTCTGCTCTGTACAATTAAAATGGAATCTATTTTGGATCTATACACCCTTAGTGCTTCCAGAACCACTCTTTTGCCTGTCTTATTGTAGAAGGATAAAACTCCATCCAAAGCTTGTTTTGCTCCAACACTTTCATTTTCAATGTGCTTATTCCAGATTGCTGTGTGCACATAAGTAATGACTGTTGGTTATTGGATTTAGAATACATATATCTACAACTGCTAAAAAAATGTTGTTTTGGTCTTTCCTTCTTTATGGCAGCCCTTCAAGTATTTGAAGACTGCTATTAGGTCTCTTTAAGTGCCTTTTCCACAAGCTGAACATGCCTAGCTCCTTCAGCCTCTCCTCATATGACTTACCTTCCAAGCTCTTTATCATCTGTGTTGCCTGCCTGTGGACCCTTGTATGTTTGTTGAAGAAATAAGAGAGTCATAGATCTCTCCATTAATGAGAGAACTAAATACTGGACTCCTTGGATATATTTCTGCTATTTACACAAAGAATAAGGGCCAAAATCAAATAGAATTTTCCTGTCCTACCATTCAGTGCTCCATTTAATCTCTTCAAGACCATTATACATCATCTTCTGTTTTATTTTTTGTATAAATTGGTAGAACAAACAATCTTATTGCATCCTTTTTAGTAAAAGTTATGATTTATATAAATGCTGTTATATAATTTATATGTACTTTTCCCATTTATTGTACTGTTTTGGCAAAAGCTGTAAATAACTACTACTACAAGCTCTGTTATCTAGCATCCTCTGGGAATGGCGGATGCCAGTTAATCAAATATGCTGGTTAATCAAATGTGTACTGTCTGGTGCACTCCCCGGTGTCAGTGTGCCAGGGGACAGGGTGGGGGGACCTGCACAGGCTGCTTTGCCCTGGGCCGTGGGCCAAAAAAGTGACAAAGAAACTCAGCTTGCCGTGGTGAAACTGGAAATCCCCAGTAACGGTACTTCTGGTTTTGCTTTTGTCATGTCCCTCAGATGCCAGTTAGCACTTTTCCAGCTAATAAAGTGCCAGTTAACACAGCTTTTGCTGTATTATACAATGCTAAGTTCCATATACATGCACAGGGAAAGTTATGCACTTAGAAATGGGATCCATAACAGCTGCTGAGTGGGCAATGCCTAGTCAGACGAAAGGAAATGTTAAAGAGAGGAGTGGGTCCGAGATGCTCGTGCTCACCCAGACTTAGCCACCTCTCTGTGATGTTTAGGCGTATGTGAGAGATTAGAAGTCACAGACCCCCTAGACTTAGTTGCTGCTAGACATGCTCAGTGTATGTCTACTAGATCTGGCTTCTGAAGGGGAACAAATCACAGGAATTCACAGTTTATGCATCTCAAACAGGCTAGGTGCAAGATATGCACTAAGACTGTTCAGCTCTGCCAAGGGTGCAGGAAGTTCAGCCACATGCAGTAGCAGTGCTCTGGATATTTAAATAATTTTATGGCCTAAAAATGTAGGCAGTTATGTCCTCTCTAGTACCTATGCAGGAGTTTTGTGGATTGCATCTAAATTCTGCCATAATCATTTTGTGGATTTCATTGGATTGCTAACTTTATATGTGAAATATGTGGAATATTATAAATGGAAGAGGATAGTTAGTGCAGTAATGTTTTGTTTTTGTTTTTTCCATCCCTAAGACTCAGTTTTATTTCTTCAGAAAAAAACTATTTCATACAAATTCCTCCTATCAAATATGTCCCATCTGCTTCAAAGTTATTCATATAAACCATCACACAAGTCTCTGCTCTTTCTGAAGTAGCTCCTTGAAGAATTAGTTTACAAACCACCTATTGGAGTAATATACAGACTGGTCTCTTTGTTATATAGAAATCTGCCTCCTCCTATAGGTCTCTTGAACTGAGTAATTTCTAGATCAGAGTATTTTCAAGCTATCATATGATCTCTGTCACATATGGATCTAGCCACTGTGTGGCTCCACAATGGCCAGTAATGCTGGCAGTAGCTGTGCTCAGTTCCTGTGTTAGTTGGCTACCCAATGTGGGAGTAAACAATGAAAGTCTGTGCAAGCAGTAGCAGTCTGGCTGAGGAGTGTAATGACTATCTAACCATGTGCCTGACTTCTGGTGGGTTTTTTTTCTAGGTACTTGTCCTGGGAGAGAGTGGGAAGAAGGACCCCGAACCAAAAGGAAAGGTCCCTGGGAACAGAATACCTAGAAAAGAGAGGAAATAAACACAAAGTTAAAGCAAAAAAATGACTTACCTACAGCACGAGCTGCGGAACAGCTGGAACGGACAAAGAAACCCACGCGGCTCGTCAGCCACATCTTTATCCAGCTGAAGCTGGCTGATGTTGTCACCAGCCGGCGGGGATAAAACCAGCTGCCGGTGGAAACAAGGGAAGGGGAGGAGCAGACCCAAGTAGGACACAACCACAGGGTGTCCTTCGGGAGGCTCTTGGGAAGGAAGGGCAATAGCCTGAAGAGTCAGAGGAGGCTCCAGGCACTGACCCTATCAGTGGTGGTGAGGAACAGCTCGACAGAGAGAGAGATGTGCCAGAAGCAGCCCCTGCAGCCAGCAAAGGCAGAGGGAACAGAAAGGTGGATGTGGCGACCCACACTGCAACAGGCAGGAATATCAGGGCCAGTGGGGAGGTGGAGGAGTCCCACCCTCTTTAGGAGAGCCCCAGCAGGAGCAGCATTAAGGGCTGTGAAGAGGCAGGATAGCTATCCTGATTACAGGGAGTGACCAGGCGTACACAAAGGGGCCATGAGGCACCCGAATAGTGACACCACAGGAGGGAGAGAAGTGGAGAAGGACTGTACTCCAGGAAGAGACGGATAAAGTGGGAGAGACGACCCGAGCAGGAGGACACTGGCATTTGGCCCCGCGTAGGGGTCCTCTCATAGAAAGGCCTTAGGGAATGAGGCACCCGGCACCCTGACATAAGGGACTGGGAAAGGGGCCACGCAGATTCCCCACAATAAAACAGAGTATTATTTTGTGTTTCTATTTTGTGTTTCCCCGTTTTGAAGGGGTTGAGGGTCAAGGGAGATGATATGGTTAAGGTATCCAGTAGAGGGCCCGTAGAGGCAACATATTTGGTTTAAGACCCTAGTGAAGTATCTTACGCTAGAGGGCTCAGGCTTCACGACCGAGAACACCGACTGCAAACAACCCGGGGCAGGTTGAGCGAAGCGGCTTCAAGAACCGGTACCAAAGACGAGGAGTGAGGGTGTGGCCAGGAAAATCTGGTGCTTCATCAAGGTGGCATAAGGTCGGGGTGTAGGGGTGGCGGCGCCCCACAAGTGACCATTGGACAGACCTCATGCCACAGGAGGACCCTGAATAGTCCCCCTACCACTGAGAAACATTCAAAGTCATGGCAGGCGAGATCGGGGAAGACCACTCAAGGAGTAAACATCTACTCGGTGGTACTGGAGTCAGTAAGGCATACACCACCAACTCTGCGAACCAAGGCTGCACGTGACTGGGCATTTAAGGCCTGACGGTCACAGTACTGTTTGTCTTATAAATATTAAGTACTAGCAATACTAGTAACTATTATTTCCCCGTGTAATATTTGGCCACTGAAAATCGGAAAATATTAAACACTGTAATGACAAAAAAATATTTTGTAACTCTCTAACTTTATGTTTTGTAGTTGTGGAGAAGAAATTAAAAAATCAATCTCTTTCCAGTACTCTTGTGTGTTTCATATTTACTATAGCCTGGCTAGTATAACAGGGTTGAACCCTGTAATAACTTTATATAAAAGCAAGATAATATATTTGATCTTTTCTGGTCAAGGCATGGACATAAGCTCTTCATTGTTTCTATTAAGCAAGTTAATGCTCCTGTACAAATTATTTGAAGAAAACATTGCACAGCATTAGTACTGGAAAATGACAAAACAATATAAATCTTGTGCCAGAGAGAATCGCAAACTATCACCTTCAGCTTTGTTCAAAAAACCACTACACAATAAAACTTATCCTAATTCATTAGGAAACATAAAGCATGATGAATTTTTACAAAAAATTATTACAGTATAATACTGTTTCAGTCAAATGAATTATAACCATTTAGAGTTTCTAGTGCACACGATTCTTGAACTTCTGCAGCCATTTTTAGACTGATGACAATTTATGTTTTCCTTGGAGCATATTTAATCAGCGAATTAATTAAAATAATTTCATTGCTGATTGCTGAAAACAACTGCTAGAGTTAGAAAACCATCTACAACATTGGCTGCTTTATTTATATTCATGGAACTAAACTAGTTAGCCACAGTGAGACAAGACTATTGAGAAAGTGACCTGCCCAACCCAAAAACACTTTTCAACTACTCCCAGACATGATAGAGCTCTTCTTTCATGTTGGAGTTTAGATTATGGTATAAACAAGACCTCTGGCTACTACTTACTGGGAGCATCTACACTGTCACCTTATGGCTATGTTGTTACTGTGCTGTAGTACTAGTATTTTTGGAAGTACTAAAGCGCAGTGCAGTAGCTGCCTGTACTGTGCCACGCACATGGCACACAGTTACTTTGCCATAATAGCATGCTAAAATATGGGAGCATGCCGTTACAACGAAGTAGCTGCCAATCACGTGTAGACTCACGTGATCGCTATGTCACCATAGCATGTTGTATGGTGACCGCGTGTCGCTATGCTGACATAGGGCAACCTGTAGACATGCCCACTGTGTTAGAGACAACATCAGGGAAAAAAAAATGTCCAGCCTTGGACCGATTGCAAGACTGGGTGTGGTTTTCTGAGTTTAAATTTAAAGAATCCTTTTACTGTATGATCTGTTGAAATAACTAGTCAACACAATCAAGTGATCTACAAAGATAAACATTTTCTTATCAGTAAGCATAGTGTGAAGAAGTGCTGACAGATATATAGTGTTGCCTTATAAACATCAGGGTTGTCTGGTTTTTCTGTGGTTTTCATGAGATGAGAGAGGTACTTAGCTACGTCTGAAGTCAGGCAGAATATCATGATGAAGTGATGCTCAAGTTCACCAAAGCTTATGCTGTTTATATATCTTAGTCTATAAGATGCGTATCTACCCCGAGTTCTTTCTGTGGGTTTGCCAGCAAACAATTGCAAGTATGAGAGAGAGTTTGGACTTCTCACACTTTTAACTGAAGACACAATAGTGCTAAATCTTACAAATATCCTTTCTTCCAAATTTTTCCCAGTGTACCAAGCTCAGGGCTACAACCCCCACCCCCTTGAGCTTAATGCCCCCCGGTGGTCATGCCTGCTGCACTCCCCAGACTCTGCAGCACCTCCCATTTCACACTTTTCACATAAAATGTTCTGATTAATTTCAGGAGGGTGCTTCTAGATGCCAGAGCATCTTCTTTAGGTGCATCCCCTCTTGGCAGGGCCAGCCCATCCTATCCTGTGGAAACTTCGGCCATGAACACTCCACATTGCTGCTGCCACCGCTGCTGGCTTCACATCCAGCCACTCGCCACCCCCCTGCCCTGCTGTTGATGCCGCTGCCAGCTTCATGTCTGGCTGCTCACTTCCCACTTCCCCCCGCCCCAGCCCTGCTGCTGCCACTGGCTTCTTTGTGTTAGGGGGTCCCAAAACTATATCTCGCAGGAGGCCCCAAAAAAATTGTGGGTTGGCCCTGCCTCTTGGTACAGTCTCTCCAGGCTTCTCTGCCCATTGTCACAGCTTAAAGACTTAAGGGTCCCACTAAAAAGAACTCAATGCCTCCATGGGAGTAATCATGGCCTCCAGCATCCCCATAACAACACCCAAACCTCAGGGGCTTGGGCCCATACCTCTGTTCACTGGGCTCTCTGGCCCTGTCTTCACATCAGCTCACCCAACCCACCAGGCCCCTGGCCGTTACACAGTTGTTCCTTTGCTGTGTCAGATCACCAGCCCCCTGACTGTTCCATGGCTCAAAGCAAAGTCTACCCCACCCCGCACCCGTTGTGGTCTCCATCCACCCCTATAGCCACACTCAAGCATCCAGTTCTGCAAAGATTCCTATTCCAGGGCATACAAAGTCCTGTTCCAGCCCAAGCAGGCCCCACCCTCATTGTGTAGGTGCTCTTCTCCTTGCAGGGCTTAAGGCCAGACTGCTCCCCTGGCTTAGGAACCAAGGTTTATACCCCTTAGCTCCACCACTTCTGATTATGACCAACCACAGGTGGGCAGTGACTGCAGCTCAGCTACCTGCCTGGAGTTCTTCACTTTTGCCTATTGGAAGGCAGGTAGCACACAGATAGGCACCTGCAGCCCTGTGGCCCCTATCTGGGCCTTCCCTTGAATGCTTACTCTAATGTAGCTGGCCCTAAATCAGCTGTCCACAGCAAATTGAAGCCCTAGCCTGCTGCTCTCCCCTTCCTAAAATAAAAGGGGCCTTTGCCTGCTGTTATGCCCAGTTACCTATGATAAATAGGTGTTTACAAATCAAAAAGAAGATACAGAATTTTAAACAGTGGATAGAAGCTACAATGACTTCAAAATGGCCAGGATTTCACCCACTATGAAGAAAAAGCATTCCTCTCATTTCTTTCTTGTGCTATAATCTTACTTATCCCCCAGGTGCCAGAGAGTTTTCCAAAATAGATGAGATTTGTTTTTTCTAATATAAAAAACAAAACTTTGCATATTTCAGATTTTTGTGTCTTTTATAAGGAGGGGGAAAGAGAAGAAAAACAGAATTATGGGATAGGCTCATACTCCAATTAATTTTCCTTTGTCAGTCACCTTTTAAGAGAGCTGAATCAGCATTACCAGTCTCTGCACTGCCACTTAACATTCACAACATAACTTCTTCAGGGAAGCGGCGTCTAAGCAGCTAAATTTAAATCCATATCTGAAAGTTTGGATCTGGGGTTTTGGTTTGGTCCCCACTTTCCTTTCAGGGTTCTTATTTAATATATACAGTGTTGGCTTCTTTTCTAGAAGGTCATTTGAATTCCTCTTCTGAGGAAATGCTGAATTATTTATTAGTTTCATAATTTTTCTGTGTCTGAGGTTATAGCTGATGTCATTGCTATCTTTAGGTTTTAAGCATTTAATTACAGCAACAGAAAGTGGAGGAATCACTTTCTTCAGTCATCTTTTTCTTAAAGACTTTAATTCTGTAGGAGTTGCATATGCAACTTCTATTGTGTTTATATAGTAGGAGTTCAATGCACTAGCTGCACCAATGGTCCTGTAGCTAGCTTGTATATAGTCCCTTAGATTTTGGAGTGGGGAAGATAGGAATAAATTGTTATTCAAAATTATAAAGCGTGTATGTCCCAGGGACACCGGGGCTATAGGAAAACCCCGGCCCAAAACCAATGAAAAGGGAAGCACGTACTTACCCCTTGCAGGAGCCAAGGACAGCAGAGGAGCGCACGCCGGGAAATCACCCGTGCGTTTTGTTAGCCGTGCTCACATCCAACTGAGAGCGGGAGATGTCAGCGAGAGACGCCACCCAGAATAAAGTGCGGCCCCTGCAGCAGCGCCAGGAGGCTGCAGGAGATGACGGAGCCCAAGGTCATAAGCGGGCATGCACAGGGTTTCTCTGCCTTGGGCAGGGAAAGCTGCAGCAGCGCCGGGAGCGGCGAAAGCTGCGAGAGCCGCAGCTACAAGAACGCCAGCTGCGGAGCCGGCGAGAGAGCTGGTAGGAGAGCGGGGGAGGGAACCGGCTGTGGAGCCGGTGGAAGAGCCGGCTGGGATGCCGGTGCAGGAACCGGTGCAAGAGCCGGCTGGGAA